GGGGTCCCCGCCGCGCAGGCGTACACTGAGAGGCCGGGGGGGCCGCTGCCGTGCCCCTCGCGCCGCAGGCACGCACGTACGCACTGGGGTAACGTCACAATGCCGCGTGCTGGGCCCCTGCCCCCGTCAGGCCCAAACAAAAGCTCTGCAGTGCCACCCCCTTCCCCTTGGGTGGAACGTCCCTTTTGTCTGGGGCGCTCCCTCAGCGCGGGGGTGGTGGGAGGAGGCGAGGACAAGGCGTGCCTAACCCGGTCTCAAGTGCCCTTAGCAGGGGTTGAGCTGCTTGTCCTGGAAGGCTGTCCTGTGGTGGGCGGCTTTTCCCACAGCACAGTGGCAAAGAACAATTTTTGCAAAGGACGAGTTTTTCCCGCTATTTAGTTGGTCTATTAAAAGATATCGCATCTAGCCAAAGGACCTCAGCCTTCTAAAGCACAGTGCCCTTTGTCCCCTGTTAGGAACCTAAGAGATGTCACTGGCTGTGTCCAGCTGGCCCAGGTCCTCCTGTTCAGCCGTCTCCTGGCCGTAGCTAAACTGCCCAGGCAATGGGGGATGGGCCCCATCAACAAGGTGGGGCTTACAGCTTTATTTGGTAGCCCACTGACCAGGAAGGAGGCTCTGGCTGGGAGGACACCCTTGGGGACTATGGGGCTGCTTTCCTGTCCCCCATCTGTTCACGTCTCTGGGTAGAGTTTTGCCAGGCAGTGTTCACTGGGTCCTTGGACTCATTTGAGGGCCAGCAGATGATGTGTGGGGTGCCCTGCACAGTGTCCATGCACTTGTTTTGAACCTTTGACCCTCTCTCCTGTCCCTGTTTTCTTCTTTAGTTGTCCCCTTTAATCACTTGATGTGCATTTAGTGGCCCCCCAAACTAAGGGAGGCTTTTAGTTTTGCTTGGTGCACAGTGTCACTTCAGACAGGCCTGACCTATTCTTGCTTGCGCTCTTCCTCTCTGTGTTCAGGCTCAGATCAAGTGTAGACCTGTTTTTGTGGGGGCATCTGAATCCCAAGACCTCTGGGCTTGGGCCTGCATGTAGGATGCCTGCTAATAGATTTGGGAGTATCTGAAGTCCTAGAGTGAGAGCCTGGGATGGGGGATGCTCCCTGGTTGTAGTGCCATGCATGGTGTTTAGAACAATTGAGTTCTGCCTGCTCAATCCATATGGTTTTTGAAATACTTGAGTTCTGCTCAGTCCATATGATTTGGAACTGATGTGCCTGATTTGACCTGGAATACAAAGTATATTAATAAAAAAGAAAGTATCTCAGAGTTGGGAAGGATGTATATTCAAGGAGAATGAGTTCTAGGATCAGAGATTCTAGTTGGTCTAATAAAAGATATTGCTTCTACTGCAAGAGTTCTGACTGGTTTTGCCTTTAGACAAGGGGCGGGCAATTATTTTGGGCAGAGGGCTGTTTACTGAGTTTTGGCAAGCCATCAAGGGCTGCATGACAGGCAGCGCAGGGCAGATAAATATTACTTTTCTAAATTTTTTAGGGGCCCTGCGGCCTGGATAGAATGGCCTGGCAGGCCGCATCCAGCCCCCGGCCTGCATTTTGCCCACTGC